ATTTCAATTAGTTGCTTTGAATCTAATTGAATCCTAGATAGTGCATCTGCATTCGTATTCATTTTCCCTTGTTTAAATATAATGTTGAAATTGTAATCCATTAAATCTATCCTAATCCTCGTCAGTTTTGAAGATGGATTCTTGTGTGTAAAAGGACTAACTAATGGTCTGTGATCAGTATATACCGTAAAATTTCGTCCATATAAGTATGGTCTGAAATAATTAATTCCCCAATGAATTGCAAGAAGTTCTTTCTCTATTACAGGCTTGTTTATTTCATGCTTGTTTAGAGTTTTACTAGCATAAGCTATTGGTTTATCATTTCCTACTTCTCCTTGTGACAAAACTGCTCCTAATGCATAATTAGAGGCATCTGTCGTTAATATAAAATTTTTCGAGAAATCTGGGTAGCTTAAGATTGGTGGTGAAATTAACTTTGTTCTTAAACTTTCAAAAGATTTATCACAGTCTTCCGACCAGCAGAATATTTGATTCTTCTTTAGTAAGTTATTAAGAGGTCTAGCTATTTCAGCAAAATCTTGTATAAACCTTCTATAATAATTGCACATGGCAACAAATCTTCGAACTTCATCTGAATTTCTAGGTTTCGGGTAATTTCGGATCACTTCATGTTTGCTTGGATCAGTGCATACACCTTGCGCTGTTATTAAATGTCCAAGATATACAACTTCTGGTTGTAAAAAATTACATTTTTCAGGGTTTAATTTAAGATTATGTTCTTGTAGTCTACTAAATACTTTTATTAGATTTTCATTGTGATTTTTTAAATTTGAACCGAATATTATTATGTCATCTACATATAAAAATGCGGACGAATCCAAACCAGTTAATGCTAAAGTTAGCATTCTTTGAAAACTATTAGTTGAAATTTTTAAGCCAAAAGGTAATCTTTTAAAATGAAAATGACCTGTATTGGTTGAAAACGCAGTTAAATGTTTCGATTTATTGTTAAGTGGAATCTGATGAAAACTACTAGTCATATCAAGTGTAGAAAAATATTTCGCTTTACCTAATTTATCTAGAACTTCTTCTAAACGAGTTAGTGGAAATTTATCATCTACTACTTTTTTATTAAGTTGTCTGAAATCAATTACTAGTCTCCATTTCTCTTCTCCATCTTTATTCTTTTTTGGAACTAATAAGATTGGTGAATTATAAGGACTTGTTGATGGTTCTACTATGTCTTCTTTTAGTAATTTATCTACTTGTTTATTCACTTCGTGTAATTGCGTATTCGGAGTTCTGTAATTTTTTATGTAAACTGGTGTTTTATCTGTAGTTGATATATGCTGCTCATAAAAATTATTAATTGTTAGAGTTTCTCCTTCTAAATGAAATATTTCCTGGAAGTCTTTACAAATGTTTAATATCGAATTTTCTGCTTTTTGATCTAAACATGGGAGTTTCAATAAATTCTTTATTCTATCAAATCTATTAGCGTATAGGGGGGACGCTCTGTTATAATTTAATATGTTATAATCTTCTAATTTTTTTATTTCTATTTTTGCATTTTTTATGACTACTGGTGTTTCTCTTGTATTTAATATTCGAATGTGTTTTATACCTATACCTGGTATTACGGAATTAGCTATAAATACGCCTTTCATTATCTCTTTACCACAAATTATACTATCTTCATTTATATCTAATTTTATAGGTTGAACTACTTCTGTTCTAGGGGGCAGTGTTATATATGCCACATTTTTTGTATTTATATTTATAGGTAAGATTATTTCATCTTCCTGATAAGGCATCGTTAATGTACATGTTTCATAATCTATCTTGCAGTTATGCTTTAATAAGAAATCTCTACCTAATATGCCGTCAGTTGGCAGATTGATATTGGGTTTAACGATATTGAATTCATGAGATATACTTTTCTCATCTAAAAATAATTTTGTTTTTAATAATCCTTCTGTAGATATTCTACTATTACAAATGCCATTTAATTTGCAATTTTTCGTAGTATCTATTTTTAAATTTTTATTTTCTAATAAATCTCTCTTTAATATTGATGTTTCGGCGCCCGTATCTATTAGTAAAGTAATAAACTTATTGCTAATTGAAGTTTTTATTGTTATACAGTTAGAAATGTTTTTTGCCGAAGTAAAATTTAATACTTTCGAACGTTCTTGTTGATATTTGAGTTTACGTTCCCCGGGGTATTGTGACCGGGGGTGTTCCCGTTTTTTTGTTGAAAATTATTGAAATTTCTTGTTTGACTATTATAGTTGCTTCGTTGATTGCTGTACTTGTTTACAAACCTCGTTGAGTTATTGTTTCCATGACTTCTGTCATTTCTTGATCTATATTTCTGGTTGTTTGATTTGTAGTTAAAGTTTCTGTATGCATTTTGCATCAGACTTCTGTTTTGTGTCTCAACATCTGTTGCAATCTGTATGGCTTCAGATAATGTCGATATCCTGGCTGCTATAACCACATTTCTTATCTTCTCATTCAGCCCATTTGTGAATGTACTGAGGCCTAATTGATCTGTCATTTTTAGTATGACATCTCTATTCTCATCTCCTTGCTCTGAAATGTATATTTGATTAAGCATTGCTATTTGTTCTTCTATTTTTAAAGCATATTGAGCAATCATTTGTATGCCTTGACGCATTCGAGTAAGATTGTTTTGTATGATTAAGGGATTGGCTTTTGGTTTGTAAATTGTGTTTAGCTTCTTAATGAAATTTTTTATTGTGTCATCTTCCTCAATTGCAACCAATTTATTTTTAACTCAATCAGAAAGTTTAGTTGATCTTACAAAATTTAGTAGAATGGTTCTCTCTACTTCATCCTTCAACGAATCTGAGTAGAATTGCAAAGTACCGGTAAAGTTAGATAAACTTTTTACATTTCCATTAAATTCAGGAATTATTTTTGAAGCTGTTAACATGTCAAAATTAGCCATTTTATCAAGTTTTGATATTGTACTGTCGCTAATCTGCTCTGGTTTGTTTCTTAAATATTTATTTATTTCCTCTACTATTGTGTCAAACTTCGTTCTTACTAATTGTAAATGTTTTATGTCAGTATTTCTTTCTATTTTTAACCAAATTTGTTTTATATAATTCTTAGTTATGCTAATATATTTATCAGTATAAGTTCTTTTCGGATTTTTCTTTAGATTAGATAATATATGTTTTAAATCTGTCAAATCCATTTAAAAATTTATCTAAATTTAAATATTTTTATTAATACATATAATAATATTATTGTTATTATGATTATTGCTATTAATATTATAGCAGTTGTTTCTATGTTTTTTATTATTAAAATATCCCTTCTAGAATACATTATTTTTATATAAGTTTTTATTTATTTAAAAAAAAAAATTTTTCTTTTTTTTTACAATATATATATAACACTATACATTAATATTTCTTAGTGCTTGCTTTTTTATATAATTTTTAAAATGAGAATGTATTTTATTCAATAATAATATAATTAGTATAATAAATGTTAAATATATTATAGTGCTAGTGCTGTCAGTGTTGATTGTTGTTGCTGCTGCATTATTGTTGTTTATGACCTCCTCTTTGGTTTGTGTGCCACCCATTCTGAGTTAACTCGTGCAGCTGTTGTTGCAAAATAGCTTTATTTTTACCTTCTGCTATTTTTATTAATTTTTTTTTTTTATTCTCGTTTTTCTTTTATAAACCTTCTCTTTTGGCCACCTCTTTTCTTTTGTGGTCTATTATGCTCTTCTACTGTTATTTCCTTGGTTCTTCCACCAGGATTTCTTCTACGATATTCTTCTAATGTTATGGGTTTTGGACCCGCTTCTGGATTGTTTAAAATTGCTTGTTGTAAAGTTTTCACAATTTTCGCAAATGTGTCATCAATTTCTTGTTGTGACATTTCCAGTTTTATTTATTTTTTTAAGAAAATTTTTAAAATTAAATCGTTTGCAAAATCGATAATGTACTGGTGTGTACTCAAATGTTTATTAAGTATTTTTTTTGTGTGGAAACTTTTACCACAAACAAAACAATTATAACTTTCCATTCGTTATTGTAAAAATATACTATAATTGAATATCTAATTGTAGAATTAGAAGATGATTATTAAACTGCTTTAGTTGATTTGATCCGTAGGGGGCAGGCTTCTTGTTATTGAACTGCTTTAGAGGATTTGAACTGCTTTAGAAGATTTGAACTGCTTTAGAAGATTTGAACTGCTTTAGAAGATTTGGTCCGTCAGGGGCAGGATCGCCATGTAATGATATAACAGGATCGCCATATGTAATGATGTTGTATTATTGCTATGTTATGTTATTCTACTATTGCCATATAATGGTTATTGCAGGATGTCAGAATCATCAATATATATATTAGCAGGATTGTTGAATTAGGTCTTCTTGATTAATGACATTTGAGTCCTGAAAGGATTTAAGGATCTCCTATCGACCAGTATGAGTGGAAACGACCTATCAGTTTATTGTTGAGTATTACTAAGCTCTTCAGCCGCTTATTGTTCTTTCAGCATCTAAATGCCGCATAGAACACGATTCAAATAAAAGACGTAAATTGAATCTATTTTATTATCAAAAATTATGGGTATTTATACTTATTCTAGCTTATTTACTAAACAATTATTATTTACTTTTTGATTGATTTGAGTAACCAATCAATGCATTGGTTACTCCCATAAATTACATTAATTAATTTATTACATTAATTTTATAAACAAATACTCTTCTAACGCATTACAATAATACGTCATATATTGTTTTTAAAGAGTTAATGTACTTTCTAGAATTTAGGTCGCAATAGTGCAATGACCATACATGCTTATCATGTCTTATGTTACAAATGCATATTTGTAACAGCATGAGTCAAAATATTTCTTTTAAGTAATATGATCAAAGTCAAAGCGTCAAACCGACAAAAGTGCATATTATAATTTATGACACATTTATTTTGTCTGAATGAACAGTGGCTTGTCACATATGATATTAACGTAGGTCATGGGCACTACACTACTTTTACCGCGCTCTCCCACAAACCACCAAAATGGGGCGATCTGGGTGGAATAAAATGAAAATTGACACCTCTATCGGCACACTCATTTGTTATACGATTTCTTGTGGACGTCTTGAAGAACTCTTCAGCCAATTCATTCAGTTCTCGTGAAGCTCCTACAAAATTAGTCGCATTGTCACACATTAAATAAGCACTAAGGCCCCTTCTGGCAAAAAAACGTTTCAGACAGGCAATGAATGCATTACTACTTAAGTCTGACACCACCTCAATATGAACCGCCTTAGTGGAAAAGCAAACAAAGAGACATAAGTGTGCTTTATCTGGTCGTTTTCCGCGTATGTTGAAGTGGATTTTAATTGGACCAGCAAAGTCCATGCCTGTATGCATAAATGGAGTAACACCTGCATCGACGCGATAAGACGGCAGCGAACCCATGAGTTGTGTTGACGTCGTTGGATGTTGACGAAAACAATCCAAACAGCTTCGAACGACTTTGCGAGCTAAGTATCGGCAATTTATAACCCAATATCTTTGTCTTACGAATGCACAAAGTGCTTGAACGCCAGCGTGATAGTTAATGCGGTGTAAGTACTTAATTAAAGCGCGTACGCAACCGTGATTATTTGGCATCAAAATTGGGTGCTCAACCGGAAATGGCAGCGAGGCATTCTTTAATCGCCCACCTACTCGAATAATTGGCGCGGGACCCTTGGTACCTATAAACGGGCTTAACCCTTGAATGTTTGAACTTTTAATACTCTGATTTGACCTTATACAGTTAATTACGTCGCCTAAACAAACGTTCTGAACATTAAACACCATGTAATGAAGCCCACCTCTCAACTCTGACACAGTTAAAGTTTCTACATCTGTCCCTGAATTTCGTTTTTTTATACGCACGCGTTGAACCCATCTAAAAATATAACTGAAGACTCTTTGCAGCTTACCAAATTCATTAATAAATTTGCACCTACTTACTAAATCTTCCAAATTGTGACTAGGTTTACAAAATAAACTGAGTATTTGTTTTCTTTCTTCAGGTATCGCTTCATTAACTATTTTCCAATTATATTGTAGCCAATTCTCTTTGTCCAGACTTAAGAATGCTGGGCCTTTGTACCACAAGTTGCAGTCTTTAAGTTCACTAGGATACATGCCACGCGAGATTATGTCTGCCGGATTAAGCTTCGACTCAATCTTATGCCAGCTCTCGGGGACTGATAACTCTTGAATTTTATCTACTCGATTTGCTACAAATGTTACCCATCTTTTAGAATAAGATAATAACCAATTCAGTACTATAGTTGAATCAGTCCAATAATGGACAGCTTGAATCTTATGGGCGATACATTTCTGAATTCTGCACATTAACTCAGCTAATAATAACGCACCTTGAAGCTCTAAACGAGGCAATGATGTTGCATGTACAGGAGCATCAATTGATCTAACATAAATAGCTGCACCAAACGCCCGTTCCGAGGCATCGAAAAACCCATGTAACTGAATGGAACTAACACTGTTTAGTGACACTACCGACCGAGGGAAAGTACACTTTGAAATTGATCTTAATTCTTGGCGATACTTTTGCCACCTAGTATGGAGATCCTGAGGAAGTGATTCATTCCAGTGGATATTACGGAGCCACAACTCCTGCATAAATATTTTTCCAATTATAATAATCGGACTTAGTAACCCCAGAGGATCAAATAATTGAGCTAACTCGGACAATACTCTCCGTTTGGAAATCGATTCGGTCTTCGTAATATCATAAGTGAACTTCCAAAAATCACTTTTTGAATCCCAATAAATTCCCAATGTTTTTGAACAATCATCTGTTTTAATTAAAAGTGGCGAGTTCATAGTGGCGGATAGTTCCTCACAGTTAGAGCGCCACTTATGTAGCTCAAAATTGCCCAAACTTAATAGAGATGTAACTTCATTTTTAATTGCTATCAATTCTTGCACTGAATCTGCCCCACCTAGCATGTCATCCATATAGAAGTTGTTCATTAACATTGACGCAGCTTCTTTATGTGTATCCCTATACTCATCTGCCAAAAATTTTAAACATCGAACTGCCAGATAAGGAGCTGAACTAGTACCGTAAGTGACCGTTTTTAGTCGCAACACCTGCATTGGATATTCAGAATTATCGCGCCAAAGAATACCTTGATAATTTATGCCCTCATCATCAACTAAAATCTGTCTGTACATTTTAGAAATGTCAGCTGTTAAAGCAAATCTATAACATCGAAAATGAATCAGAATTTCAAATAATTCCGGTTGTAATGTTGGTCCAACTAATAACATATCATTTAAGGATCGCCCATTACTCGTCTTGCACGACGTGTCGAAGACTACACGTAATTTTGTAGTTATACTCTCCGGTCGGACTACTGCATGGTGCGGCATAAAATATTTGATCTTTGCTATTTCCTCTGCATTATTTAAAATTTCTAAATGATCCAATGCGTGATATTCTTTTATAAATTGAGTATATTGTTCTTTCAATGAACTGTCCCGTCTGATTCTAAGTTAAGAAAACGTTTTTGCGCAATTTTAAATGACTCCCATAGTGTTAGTTGAGACGCACAAAAAGGCAACGAAACTATAAATCTGCCGGAATCTGTTCTTTTTACCGAATTTAGAAAATTATCCCCGCAAAGCTGTTCTTCGCTTGTAAGTTTTTTCTTTAGAGCTACTACTTCCTCACATCGCCAAAATCTTTCAACTAAATTAGGTAGCTCTACTAAATTAGGTGACCTATCGCAGTTTTGAGTAATTGTGAATGATTTGTCCTACAGCTAATAATTTGAAAAAGAGATCGACTCCTAGCAGCAAATCCACCTTACTATTTTTTATTTTTTGGTAAATTTCAATTGTCTACCTCAACGTGTACATTAGGTGTACAATGAGTAACACTATCTAAGACAAAAAACTGAGCAACCGCCGAGAAGCTTGTCACACAAGAGCTTATCGAAGCTGCAGTCTGCCCCAGTATTTTTGCTTTCGTTTCACCGATCCCAATTACAGATAACTGTGATGATTTTACATCAAGTTTCAATCTCTTCGCTAGTTTCTCAGTTATAAAGTTTAATTGACTTCCAGAGTCTAGAATACATTTGCATTCTTGATGAGATCTATTACCACTGACGGACACTATTGCCGTGGCTAAAAAACAAGTCGAAGTAGTAGGCCACAATGTGCTAGAGCAGTCCTACTAGCTTCCTTATGAGATTGTGTCGGAACGAAATCGGCACCCCTAGGCTCCTTCGAAACTCTGTCGCTTCTATGTAACAGCGTATGGTGATTACCTGAACAAGTTTGACAACGACTGGATCCACACTCCTTTATAGAGTGTCGTTTTTCTAGACAAATTAGGCATAATGAATATTTTTTTGCCTCATAATATCGCTGTAACGGCGACAGTTTAAGAAAATTTTGACATTGGTATAGTGAATGCTTGCCTTCACAACTATAACATCGGATCTTTGAGTCAGAATTAAATGAAGCTATCAACACAGAGCTACCTTGCTTATTATTTGGCTTCTTTTGAATTCTATCCCCAACATTGCGAGTTAATTCTCGATTAGCTAACATAGCATGTTGATTAACTAGAAATTTCGACAATAAAGCCCATGACGGTAAAGTCGTACAATCCCATTGACTCTCCCATTTGGATAAAGTGCTTGGATCAAGTTTAGATCGAATCGAATTGTATATTATCACGTCTAAAATATCCTTTTCGTTTCCTAACGATTTTAGAGCTTCAAGTTGCGTATTAACCCTATCTACTAACAATCTAAGATTATCTGAGCTTCCATGATCCATTCGCGGCAATTCCGTAAGCTCCCTAACGTGCGCTTGAAATATTATTGACCGATTTTCAAATCGATTTTTTAAAAGCCCTAGCGCTCTTTTATAGTTGGACGCAGATAGCTCCAATCCCTCAATTGTGGACAACGGTACTGCATCTAAGCAAGAACGCAGATGTACAAATTTGGAAAGCTCATCTAATTCAACATCTGAGTCAACTAATGTGACGAATGTGTTGAACCAACTCATCCATTCAGTATATTTACCCGAAAAATGGGGTAATTTCAATTTTGGCAAATTACAGGAACGGTGTTGATTCCCTGGCAATGTAACGGAAAAGCCGCCACTAGTATCTAACACACTACACTGCTCTTTTCTCTTAGAATGCTCGCTTACTATAATTGCCTTTATGTCACAATAAAGGTCTTCAAAGTAAATTCGTTTAAATTCTTGGCTGGGTTCCTCATTCCCTTGCTCTATTTCAGTTTGTATATCGCGAAGTTGGGAGAAATTCGTCTCAATTAGACTTAAGCGTATCCTCAGTTCAGATTCATTCATGGAATTAATATTTTTGACCAACAGCGATTTGCTATGTTCTAACGATTTACATAGGCTATCTTACTGGCAGCCAAATCATTAGCTTGGTGACATGTCTTACGTCCCATTATTTCAATAATATTAATTAATAGCTTCAATGAAATGGCTGATAGTTACCAGTTTTAATAAAATTAATTATTTAACCAACGAATTAAAATTATTTTACTATAAAAAATAGATCAACTGAGGCAATTTAAAATTATTTTGCTATATAAAAAATCAACTGAGGCAATTTCACCAACAAATTTAAAAAATATTTTATAATAAGAAATACCTCGTGCGCATAAAATGTTAACTGCACTTAACGGGTAAGTCCGTTATCGACACCAAGTGAAAAACAAATTAAATTGCTCAACTGCAACTTATGTATTTCAAACTGTTAGACCAAAACGAAAACTTTTACTATAGAAAAAAATAGATCAGCTGAGGCAATTTCAACCAACGAATTAAAATTATTTTACTATAAAAAATAAATAAACTGAGGCAATTTCAATCAACGTAAATCGTATTTCAAACTGTTTGACCAAAAATTAAAACGAAGCAATGGTCGCAGTACACAAATCCACGTGGCAATTTCGTTCTCACATGCTATCAATTTTGATGCCAAACTAAACGGAACCGTACCCACCTTAACGTACACGCTAAATTTCTATTTTATTAATACACAAAATAATTACCGAATTACCGTCCACTAAGCTCGCTTTGCTTTCTTACTGCTTATGACTGCTTCCTTGTTGACTAATTATCCTTTATGTTTTCTTTTTATTATTAGGACACCTTCAATCTTCCACTTAAATGTCCCTGCTCGGGCGCCAATGATTAAGCCGTAATGTTTTTTACGGCTGACTGCAACTTTACAAAAACAAACGAAATAAAAACACTTTAAAATATTTTATGTGTTGCTCGCTCAACTTATTAATTGCAAGTGAAGATTCTCTTTATTGAAGTTTGACTCGAAGTCAAACTATTTTTACCAGGTTGCCAACACATTTTTTTTATAATAGTAAATTACAAATTAAATTCAAAAGTTATTAACACAATTTTTATAATGACAAATTATAAATTACAATTGAAGGAATTAAAACGTATTTTTGTTTATAATAACAAATTATAATTTAAATTAAGGCATTAGAACGTATTTCTTTTATAATAACAAATTATAATTAAAATTAAAGAAATTGAAACGGCTTGACCAAACACCATATAAATTAAGAATCTTTTCTTTAAATAAAATTTATACTGTTTAAATTTTTAAAAGCTAACATATGTGTTCAGTTAAATATTACAGCGTAAAAAAATATTATTTTTTTTTCTTTTAAGATCAGAGATATTTGGAGGAATTTATTTACAAAAAAAAATTGACCTTAGGCGGTTAAATTTTTTTCTTCATCTTCTTCTTTTTCAATTTATACTGTTATTAACCGGAATACCTGTATACCGTTGTATACTAACGGTGTGTCATGTGGCCGTTACTGTCCTTTCTTCCAGTTGTTTTTTTTTTCTTAATCCTTCGGTTCCGGAGTATAATTTCTCTAGCGCTTCTGCAGGATTTCAAATAGCCGTAGTCATCCACTGACAGTCAAATAGATGAATATCTATTTCTTTATGCACCTTTTATTTCATATTTATTACGGCTGTGTCGTTAGTTAAAATTTTTTTTTTTTAAATGGATATACAAATTTTAAAAAAAATATGTTTTTTTCTTTCTTGATTTAACTTTTTGAATTTTTATGAACTTTTAGCCAAATTTTAATTAAGTTTTGAAA